AAGCATTCTAGCGATGTCCAGACGCCGGAGGTCGGCTCGAGAGACACCTGGAGAATTCTATAATGATCTAGGCTTATAATAATAAGTAAATCAAAACTAAAATGATGCAATACATTTTAGAATATTCTTACATAAGTAACACATCAATATATATTCATGAAAATCTCCCTAAATTTGCCAAAATAACTGATGCTTGGGACAGAAAACAACCGAAACACCTAGTTTACAAACATTATAACACCAAATTATGCCACGGCATAACACTACCCCCTCCCTAATTCTTGTGTCATCCCGACACACTTATTCACTATACTGTTTACATAATAATCCTGCAACTTGGTAGGTCTCTTCTTCTACTGATGTACTAGGATGTCTTGAGAGTCCTTTCTTGGTGCAGCAACCTTAGTCACATCCTCAGAGTGGCCCCCCTCTCCTGTTGATTCCAATTCTGGCAAGAAGGAACAGTGGCTCTCTTCCTGGTCCGTGGTCGGGTTCCCCGGATCGGTACGGCCCTTCCAGGATCTCCGGTCTGGTCCTCGTCGGTGGTAGGTGGCTGCTCCTCAGAGTCTTACCAGGTGTACTGCCCTGGCCCATGATACTGCCAGAGACAATTGACGTGGACTAACTTCAGCTGAGCCTTCCTTCTTCCCCTGATCCTGTAGATCACATGTGAAAGGCGTTCCACTACAGTGTATGGTATTTCCCATGGGCTCTGCAACTTCAGTGACTGACCCTTCTTTCACAGAGGGTTCTACAGCCAGACCTTAACACCATCCTTGTAACAGACCTGGCTTGCTTTGACATCATGGCTGTGCTTCATCACTTCACCCGAGAACTCCAGAGCTCCTCGAACTTGATGGTGGACCTCCGTTAACCTTTCTTGTAGGCCTTTGACATAACCGGAGGTTTCTTCAGGAAGTTCTTCACCAGGTGGTCTTCTTGTCAGCAGGTCCACTGGCAGCCACAGTTTGGTTCTCAGCATTAGTTTTGCCATCAGCAGAGCAGGCAGCTTCTGGTCCCAAGGTCCAGTATCCATGGTTTGGCATACCCTTTGTTTACACCTGGTCCTCGTGGAGTTTGGTGCGTTCCTAGGTATTTCAAGTGTTTCTGTAATACTTCACTTGTTATTTACCCTTAATATGCCTGCTAAGCATAGGTATTTATTTTATTATTTCATTTACTGTACAGATATATTTTTCTTCTTTACAGGTGAACATCACCAATTTATGTACAGGTACCATAACTATTTTGTCATTTTAAATGCAGAATGAGAATTATTGTTTATCTATTTTTGTTTATTACAATTACACTGTACAGTAGAACGTGGATATAACATGAGATATGTTCCAAGAGAGGTCGCTTTAAACCGAATTCTCACTAAATCAAAGTGTTGTTTTAATGGAATAGTTTAGTTTGGTACTTGAGAGAAACACAAAATACTAAAAAGACTGACAGTCTACCCAGATGCACCTCAGCCCATCTCCTAGAATAAAAAAAACATTGTTTTTTGTTATTATGTTAAAACAAACACTCATAAATCAACACAGCTAAAATTAAGGGATGCAAAATGGTCTGTTTACTGGCAGGGAAGATGGGGGGAGGCAGGTGAGGTGATATGTTTTACAGTTGATGCCAAGGTCTAGTGCTTATTTATTTATCTGTACTTAGGAGTGACTTTAAGTTTTCTCTTATAAAATGTCACTGAACTGACATGGGAGAATATAGTTAACATTACAAGAATTCGTATAAGATAGTGATTAGTTTGAATATAAACATGCTAGCTCGCATTAACCATACAATGAACAAAATTTTTTATCTCTTGTGCAAAATATATGACGTTTATATTCAAATTATTCACTGTCTTGCAAGGATTCCAGCAATGCAAATTATATTCTCCTAACTTTAGTCTGTGATATTATATAAGATAAAAACTTAAAGCCTACTGTATAACCACCAAACCCTGGCTGGGGGGGAGGGAGGGGGGGAGGGGAGGAAGGAAGTGGAGGTGACAGTGACATGTTTGACAGTTGGCACTGAAGGTCTAGTGAAGTATTTATTTGTTTATTTATGTCCTTTTGATTGAGTTTTGTTTTTTGTTTATAAAATGTCACAGAAGTGACCGGGGAGAATATAAGTTACATTGCTGGTATTCTTATAAGATAGTAATAAATTTGAATATAAACATGCTGTAGTTTGCACTAGACAAAAATTTTAGTAATCATTTAGTACTTTATTTTCAATACATGTACAGTACAGCTTTACCCTTAGGGCAGTGTAGCGTGCCCAGAGAAACATGAGGCGCAAAATTTTGAATATGATGCGCATCAATAATACACCTGCTCCTCGACTTACGATGGGGTTAGGGACCCAAATCCAGGTCGTAAGTCGAAAATGCTTAAATAATACATAGAAAATCTAAAATGGGTGTCTCTTTTTCTTCTCAGCACCACAAAACTCTCACTATTAAGCTTGCCAGCCATTTTAAAGTGAATTACCAAAAAATATTTGTCAGTACACAGCACGATCACTAATGTAGGAACTCGAAACTACGTAATTTGACAAAATTTGGGTACGACTGAGGCAGTCGTATGTACGGGTGGTCGTAAGTCGAGGAGTGGCTGTACTATGTATTTTACAAAGATCACCTGTCGTTCAGAAAATTCTATAGTCCGGCACCGGTCAGGTCCAAAGGGTGCCGGATTAGGGAGTTCAAAATATATATATATATATATATATATATATATATATATATATATATATATATATATATATATATATATATATATATATATATATACACCCCGACTTACGACGGGGTTAGGGACCCAAATCCAGGTCGTAAGTCCGACATGGTCGTAAGTCCGACATAGATAAAAAAAAAATTTTTTTTAATAAAAAATCTACAATGAAATACAGTACAGTAAAAGTAATGAATAATGATGAATGGATACAGTACAGTGAAAGTAATAAATAATAAGGAATGGATACAGTGTGACTGAGCACTTAACCTTTAATGTAGTCAGCTGAATGCACATGGGGCCCCCATAATTTTCTAATTATACATGGAGACTACATTAACTGGAAACGTTTCGGTATAGAAAATGCGTGTGTCATTTAAAATTTTTTTTATTTATATCTGAGGCGGTCGTAAGTCCCGACGGTCGTAAGTCCACGTAGTCGTAAGTCGGGGTCTAGGTGTATATATATATATATATATATATATATATATATATATATATATATATATATATATATATATATATATATATATATATATATATAGTCATCGCCGGTTAACGTCCTAGATACGTTCTTGGAAACGTGACGTTAACCGAAATGGACGTTGTCCGATCATCACATAAACTTTTTATTTATACTTATGTGTATGTGGAATACTATATACATACATATACACTTTTACTCTTAAATCACTACTGTAATGTGATACAGGTGATTAATTTTTCTCGTGCAAAATGCATGATGTTTATATTAAAATTACTCACTGTTTTACAAGGATTCCAGCAACGCTGGGCAGTTTGGGGAGAGAGAGGGTGGGAGCAAGTGAGGGGGCGTGGGGGGAGGGGAGGTAGTACATTTGACAGTTGGCACCGGCCCAGGTCTAACACGTGTACCTGTATATTTATCAGTACTTAAGTGACTAAGCTTCTCTCTTATAAAAAGCCAGTGACATGACCTGGGTGAATATAATTAACATTGTTGGGATTCTTGTAAGATATTGATTAATTTGAATATAAACATGCTATAATTTGCACTAGACATAACAATTTTAGTACCATAATCAAATTAGTACATGTGCACTCCAGCTTTGCACTAAGGTCATTTATTTCTTTTACGTTCCTTTTAGCATGGTGTGTGCATGTAAATGGATGAAAATAAATGAAGAAATTTATGTAAATCTACCCAAAAATACAGTTGAAAAACTTTACATTACTAGAATGTACTAATGTACTAAAAATTTTATCTCTTGTGCAAAATATATGACATTTATGTTCAAATTATTCACTGTCGTGCAAGGATTCCAGCAATGCAAATTATATTCTCCTAACTTTAGTCTGAGATATTATATAAGATAAAAAACTTAAAACCTACTGTATAACCACCAAACCCTGGTTGGGAGGGAGGGAGGGAGGCAGAGAAATGTTTGACAGTTAGCGCTGAAGATCTAGTGAAGTATTTATTTGTTTATTTATGTCCTTAAGGTTGAGTTTTTGTTTTTTGCTTATAAAATGTCATTGAAGTGACCGGGGAGAATATAATTTACATTGCTGGAATTCTGATAAGATACAGTGGTCCCTCGGTTAACGAACGCCTCGGTTAACAAAATTTCAGTTCACGAATTACCTTCCATAAGAATCTTCAATTCGGTTAACGAACAAAAATTCGATTAACGAAATCCTTATGAAAATCACGTTTTGTTGTGAACATCAGCTGGTCAGCTGATGGCCCAGT